AAAGCAAGTGAAAAACATCACGCTGAGAGTTGGAGAGCATGAAATCACGTCACAACCTTTTCTTCGGTATTTAGGAATGATGATCGATGCCCGACTCAACTTTAAGCAGCAGGCGGAGTATGTGGGTTCTAAGGCGTCGGTGGTAGGAGCGACTCTATCGCGGCTAATGCCCAATATAGGAGACCCGAAACAGAAGAGGAGGGCATTACTGACGTCAGTAACTACATCTGTGCTCACATACGGGATTTCCGTTTGGGCTGATACCCTCAAAAAGCAAGAATCGTGGAGGAAAATCGCACCGATATATCGAAGGAGCGCTTTGAGGGTCACCAGTGCTTTCCGCACGGTGTCTGAGGATGCCGCGTGCGCTATTGCTGGGATGCTACCCATCGAAGCTTGCTGAAGAACAACAAGCTCTCTATCAGCGAAGGAGATCTAATACGATTAGTGCCGAGGAACTCGGAATCGAGGAGCGGCGAAATAGCATACAGCGATGGCAAGTGCTATGGGATACCACGACAAGGGGTAGATGGACATACCATCTTCTATCAAGACTAAATGCTTGGTTAAGCCGCAATCATGGTGAGGTCAACCACTACCTGACTCAAATGCTTTCAGGACATGGGTGCTTCCGAGCGTATCTTCATCGGTTCAAACATGAGGATTCTCCGGAGTGCCCATCCTGCCCCGGAGTCAGTGAAGATGCGGAGCACGTGTTCTTTGCGTGTCCCCGATTCAATTCGCTGCGCAATGCATGAGAAGCTATTCTAGGACAAGAAATTCGACCAGAGAACTTGGTGGAAGCGATGCTTTCGTCGAGGGCGGCTTGGGACGCGACCAGCACATTCGCGACGGAAGTTCTCCAGGATCTTCGTCGCATGGAAAGGAGGCGAACCGGAAAAATGATGATTAGAAGGAGAGAAGCAGTGACTCCAACTACCTGAAGGAAGAGCAGTAGCTAGATCTTCTCCCCGCGAAGTAATGCCTAACGGCGGTTCCGCGGGGGAAACAGAGGCAGAAGAAAAAGGAGGTTTTTTAGTCGGTATTAGAAATATTAGAATATCTGAGTCCGACATACCAGGCAGAACATCGCGCCTGATGATACGTAAAGGTATTTTCCCACCTCTAAAAAAAAAAAAAAAAACACACACACACAAATGCCACTTCTTTCTGTCCACCTGCTTATTAAATCTACTTCAAGCGGCTGATTAACTCAAATATGTTTCCTACTAGAAAAAAGCTTAATTTCGAAATTATTATTCTTTTGATTAATTCTTTTGATTAAGGGGTGAGCCTCCCTTAGACTGAGCAAGTCCTCGTAAATCTGACAATGTGCTCATGAAAACTTTCCGTTTTCGCACACAATTCCAACATTATTCTACGTTGAAAATTTCACGTGAAACTTCACATAACTATGCAAAGAATGTCTCTACCGTCAAAGAACATACAGTCTGTCAAGAGCATGTGTGGCACAGCAGTCGATAAAAGGTATCGTCCTAATTTTTTCGTGAAAGATTCAGTTGATTCACATTGAAGTTTTGTCATATAAACACGTAAAACGCCATGAGTGCCGCATATGCGTCACGCTACGAGACTGTGTTCCTCTCCCTTATAAAAATTTAATACTGATAAGTAATTATTTGGCCAGTGATAATTACTTTCGTTCAATAATTTTATTACTCGTACGAGTAATAAAATTACTATTTATTACTGGCCAATTTATCACAGCCAGTGATACTTTTCTATAAGGGCTGTTCCCCGAAAGGTCCGAAAATGTCTCATGCAGCGGTTGCTAAATACATAGGGAAGTCGAAATCATTCGTGAGTAAGTGGGTTCAGCGATACAAAGAGACGAAAACTATCGATGATTTATCCTAACATGGCTTGATAGGCAAAGTGTCCCCTAAAGCCAATAAAATAATAATGAACTTATTTTCGCAGAATCCTGGCTTAACACTGCGTCAAGGAGAAGCAAAATTGAAGCAAAAAGGTTTAGATATAACATACGAAGCTGTTTGGATATAGCATTCAAACCCATCTCCATGCTCATGATATCAAATGGCGCAGTACAGTGAAAAAACCGTTGTTAGGTGAAAAGTACGTGACGAAGTGACTCGCTTGGGCAAAGGACAATATTGACCGAGATTGGAACAATGTAATTTTTACGGACGAAACTTCTGTTTGGGAATATGTTATCGCTCCACGAGCCTGGTCAACTTCCACCAACAGGTAGGTACAGCGGACCGTTAAACCTTTATAGAAATATCATACTAAGAATCATTGATAATTACTTATTATCCAGTATTTTTAATACTGAAAATAAGTAATTATCAATGATTCTTAGTATGATACCTTAGTATGATTTCTATAAAGGAACACCCAGTAAAAGTGCATCTTTGGGGCTGGTTTTTAAAACTGGGTTTCGGAGCTTTGCATTTGTTTACCTACTATAATCTGAATACTCCAAAAATACGAAATATACAAAAAATCTTTATTACCAACAGCCAAACGTTGGTTCATCAAAAACAACGGAAACTGGATCCTGCAGGAGAACAACGATCTTAAACAGCGCAGCAAGCTCTGCACCGAGTGGAAGGAGCAGTCTGGCATCTTTACACTTGATTGGCCGTCGCAGTCGCCTGACGCAAACCCAATCGAGAATGTGTGGGCATACATCAAGCACAAGCTTTGAAGAAGAAAATTATTCACTTTAAAGCAGTTAACTCGAGAAATTCGTCGCATTTGGAAGTCCTTACCGCATGAATACGCCGTTAACTTGGTCGAAAGCATACCTCAAAGATACCAGATAATTATCGACGTCGATGGTGACTGGACGCATTATTAATATATCAATCAAAAAATAGGAAAAAGGGGCAATTTGAGTTCAAGCACAGGACTAATAGTGCTATGTACCATATGGGTAAAATCTTCCTTGTGTTAGGAAATCGTGTAATATTTATTGAACATGAATAATCAATATAAAACAAGCATACGTTTCGGCTCAAACATGAACCCTCTTCAGTGATAGTAAAAACTCAAGGTTTACGATACGAACGCATTACAATTAATTAAAGACCTGAATAAATTGACATGAATGTTAATCGCAATATTAAAGCTGACAAGACCGTTACCGAAATAATATTAAGTAGTTAATTAATATTGAGAAGTAGCCGTCATAACTATAAAAAATCATAAAATAAAATAAAAGTAAGTAAAATTGAAATATAATAATTAAAACTGACAATATAAAATACCTTTGTTGAGCTCAGCTAAAAGTAAACCGATCCTGTCAACGATAACATCGCCACGTCTACGAAATACAAATAATTACATTTATATATTTAGCATTAACATTGCGGAAACGATTTGTGGGAGAGAATGAAACCAAAACAAAGTTTATTTTCATAACAAGCCGCAGTAGTTGCTGCCCAAATATTCAGTATCTTTTTGTGAGTTAAGACCATGCTTTTGAAATTTGATGAAAATTATTTGTGAAATCAGGCGTTTCAAGTAAAAGCGTTCCTCATGTAAAACTTTGGCATGATCTCAATCGAAATCATGGTTCTTCCTCAAACGATGTTCCTGTATGGCCGTTAACTTCACCGTAGAACTCGTAGGAATTCTCTATGTTCGGTAATACGTGTAGAGAGTCTTCTATTAGTTTGACCAACATAACTAGTAGAAGACTCTACACGTTGTGACGGCTCAATACCGAGTCGTTAGGAACCCGTCCGACCGAACATCAGTCGGACAGGAAACCGGCGCCTAGGCGCCATCTAAAGCTACCACTACTTCACGCGACGGAGCGTTTCCGCGCCGCACCGTATCCCGACTCTCAATCGTGAGAGTATATTACGCGACGCCGCGCGAACGAAGGGAGATTCCACCGAGGTAGTCACTCCGCTTCCGAATCGACTACCGAGGCCCGCGAGACTTCTCGCCTCCGAAGACGAGCCTGCTCGTCGCTATCCGCGAGACTTCTCGCCTCCGAAGACGAGCCTTCTCGTCGCTATCCGCGAGTATACTCGCATCTAGGTCGTTAACGAGGGTACTCGTTACCAGCTACACTTCCACGAGAATTCTCGTAACCACTCCATCGGCGAGTCTACTCGCCAAGCCATTCCGAGGACAAGGCTTCTCGTCCTATATTCTATCTTGGCGAGACTCCTCGCCGAAATCGGGATTATCATAGGAAAGGGGTGCGGTCTGCCACGTCTCCGCCAGGACTTCCTGGCTCCTACATGATAATTTCCCGAGTAACTGCGTCACGCGCCGATAACAACAACACCTTCCGCGACGGTTCCTAGAGGTCACTAAAGGATAGGGGTGCGGGCTGCCGCGTCTCCACCAGGTCTTCCTGATTCCTCACGAAGCTACCTCTCGAGTACGACTGAACTCACGCGAGGTACCGAAGTACCACGAACCGTCCTTTCGAAACCACAAGCGTGTACCGCACCGCCGTTCGGGACGGCGACCCGCCTAGCGAACTAATTATATTACCTTGTATCACCATACTTACTCATCTTGTGTTATAGCATTAAGTTACTTATCTGTTTCGTCCTTTCAAAACTTAATAATAAATATTAAATATTTTACATCCACCATCTCTGATTTATTTTTTTTGGCGAACTCGGCATACGGCGAGCATAGATCCGTGGCATTTCCGGAGCGACGGCCTACCGTCGCAACGTATTGCCGAACATAGGAGAATTCCTAGGAGTTCTACGGTGGAGTTAACGGCCATACAGGAACATCGTTTGAGGAAGAACCATGATTTCGATTGGGATCATGCCAAAGTTTTACATGAGGAACGCTTTTACTTGAAACGCCTGATTTCAGAAATGATTTTCATCAAATTTCAAAAGCATGGTCTTAAATCACAAAAGGATACTGAATATTTGGGCAACAGCTACTGCGGCTTGTTATGAAAATAAACTTTGTTTTGGTTTCCTTCTCTTCCGCAATGTTAATGCTAAGTATATAAATCTGTAATTATTTGTATTTCGTAGACGTGGCGATGTTATCGTTGACAGGATCGGTTTACTTTTAGCTGAGCTCAACAAAGGTATTTTATATTGTCAGTTTTAATTATTATATTTCAATTTTACTTACTTTTATTTTATTTTATGATTTTTTATAGTTATGACGGCTACTTCTCAATATTAATTAACTACTTAATATTATTTCGGTAACGGTCTTGTCAGCTTTAATATTGCGATTAACATTCATGTCAATTTATTCAGGTCTTTAATTAATTGTAATGCGTTCGTATCTTAAACTTTGAATTTTTATTATCACTGAAGAGGATTCATGTTTGAGCCGAAACGTATGATTGTTTTATATTGATTATTCATGTTCAATAAATATTACACGATTTCCTAACACAAGGAAGGTTTTACCTATATGGTACATAGCACTAATAGTCCTGTGCTTGAACTCGAATTGCTCCTTTTTTCTATTTTTTAATTGATATCTTCGTTTGCGAGTTCTTATTTCTTTCTCTAAAAATTATTAATATAATTACATCTTTATTCGAGTATAAGATATCCATATATTTGAAAATTGCATTAAATAATTTTTTTCTACAAATTAACCCGCACACGCATTTATTTGACAGACTATATGATGTACCCAGATAGCCAAACCTGCGCAAGCAGATTTCGAGCAGAGCTTGCTATCAACTTTTGATGGCAAATAGATAACAAATTTGATGCAGGATCTTATATCAAATTTTGCTGCCAAATTGCCGCCAAATATGCGGCAAAGCTTGTTGTTGGATAATTGCTGCAGATTTGCAGGAAAAACCGCGCAGAGCTTGTAGCGATTTGACGACAGATTGGCGGCAGAAACCGCGCAGACTTTGCTGCGCTGCAAGCTTTGCGCGGTTTTTACTGCAAATTTGGCACTAATTGCCCGACAGCAAGATCTGTCGCCAAAACCGTAGCCTAATGTAGACACAGATAGCTTTGCTGTGGGTTTTTGATCAAATTTGCTGCCAATCTGCGCGCAGTCTGCGCTCAATTTGCTTACTGGGTATGTACGTCTGCTATCGAGCTTGAGTGTGACGATACGTTATACTTCAGTCCAACGCGCCTCGTTTAACCAGGAGATGATTCCATCTGTATTATCTTCGTGCTCGTCGCCTACAAAAAATTCTGGAACCCACATCCGGAAAAAATCCATTAGATCTTTAAAAAAAAATCCTTGTTACTCGAGAGCGAGGACTACCAAAATAGCCTGTTGGTTAAATTTAATTTAAAGTCAATTAGATAATTATTCTAATGTTCTACCGATCTTTTCAATGACCGCAATGAGTGAATTCATTAGCAAACACTTGATCTCAGCTGCGATCTTAACGTAAAGCAGATTGTTTAGCAACGCGCGCGCATACGTGTAAGTCGTGAGCAAATACGCCGATTATCATATTTGGATACGAGCTCTCCTTCCATGCCAACTGATATCTATCGGTGAATAGCTCAATACGTTGACAATAGCCATAGCTACTTCACTGCTAAATCTCGCTTTCAAATAATACAATTTCAGAGTAAGCTCGGATAATTGGTAATGGGTAATTTCGGAGTAAGTTGATCCATATCGTAGACAAATAATTTGAACAAACCTTTGAACCCTTCTCATGCTAGTTGATTTCCTGAAAATGTCGATCCAAAGTAATTGGATTTGTTTAACAATACTATTCGCCGTTGATGATTCTTTAGATGACGTGTTCACTAACACACACGACGTTATTTTTTTTTCGTTTTAATGTTGATATAATCCTCTTTTCTTTTGTTGCCGTGAATAGATCTAATTTAATATAACTTGTCCGTTTATTTAAATGTAAAAATAGAATCATGGGTATATGAAAATTTCTTCCAACAGGTTTCGAATGACTCTAGACAAACCCCGGTATAAGCTGTGATTAATTTATCTTTGCTCATTCTTTTTTTAACAAGATTTTCTCAAAAACTGTCGATATATCTTTACGTTGTGAATTTTCTTCTAACTGTTGCCTCTATTTTATGTTCTATTTAGGAAACGCAAATGACAGTCGATGAATGCAAGATACGAGAAGCATAACAAACCTCTCGCAGATGAGACGCATGCGATCAATTTTGCTGACGCGGTATACGCGAAGAGGAGAGCGAACAGTGCGACCTGATGCCTGCGGGAAGCGAAACGATTGAAGTGTAAACGGCAGCGTGTACGATGCTCTCAGGCTCCCGGGAATTTTTCGATCAGAAGTCCGCACCGCTTTCATAAATGAACGAGAGTTGTGAGAGAGCTGTGTGCGAGTCGGATTCACCGCGTATCGGATATCTCGCGTATAGCCGTATTTAAATAACTATTCTTTTCCGCGTGATTACTCAAGCCATTGTCGCGTTATGTAACTAGAACTTTAATTAAATCGATTATTATTTAGTCGATTTATAGTATGTGATTGGAAAATGATTATCGCTATTATTATTAATATCTACCAGATTAATTACTTAATAAAGTCGTAAAAACGAGGTACTTGACACAGTACTACTTGTCATTAAATTTTACTCTTCTTACGATCTTATGAGATATGGCCGAGTATAACAAAAGCAATATGTGAAGTTCGCACAAATAAATTTTTGCATACTAATAAAACATAATATCTTTAAAATATTTTATCGTCAAATTACGTTTCATAACTTTTTGAAAATAATATTTCTTTAAACACAATCATGTATATCAATCGATATCATATTTATGTAAAAGCTAAATTCCCGATAAAATTAATCTAATTGTCACCTCCATTTTGTCGATAGCAATTATTTGGAAGGAAGAGGCCAAGAAAAGGAAGAGGAATGAGGAATAATTAAATCCTCAACTCTGGTTATTATGTTTATTTTTCACACATATACATAGATAGATGGCGTCCAATCATTGTGATTTTATAGTTATTTTAGTGCGAGTGAAATAGATTGGATCTCATTGCAGCTACAAATAGATAACCTGCGTTCCGAAGATATTTCAGTTTGAGATCGCAACATAAAACAGCTTTATTGTATATATCTTAACTTGAGACGGCAATATGTTAATGCCGTCTCAAGTTAAGACATATCCAGTAATTAATTTTCTGTTTTAGGAATCATATTTTTTAACCGCAGCTGGTGAAAAGAGTGACCTTCTCTGCCATGTACGAAAGATTGTATCTCCAAACATGATCCACTTCTATAAAATTTCAGTCTTCCAAATGTCAATAAGTGGACCGCATAAAGCATGACAGAATACTGCAGTGCATGTTGAAATGTGCCTACGGAAGAACAGAATAACAATTACATAGAATTCTAATTCTAAAAAATTAATATTCAAATTATTAAAAAATGTTTAATAAACAAAATAACGTACCTGTATATTGGAACGCAGGTTGTAGCTCAAGTTCATCATGGAACTTTAGTTTGATTTTAAATATTGCCCCAAGGCCCTAGCCAGGAAGCAAATTATAGATGCAATTACAGTACTAAAAAAAAAGACCAAGACTACCCCAATTACAACCTTTTTAGTCTCCATTCTCTGTGGACATACATAATTATAATTAGTATATATTTAATTATTATATAATTAATTAGTATATCATTAGTTAGTATAATTAATTAGTATTTAATTAGTAATTATAATATATATTATAATTACTATTATAATTATCATATATATTATAATTACTATTATAATTATAATTATAATATATTATAATATATATTATAATATATATTATAATTAATAATTATAATAATGTTTATAATATTATTAATAATAGTTATCGAACTTAAGACACCACAATATCTAAAACGTTCAAATATCGTCTGCAAAGCAAATTTGGTATGAACATCCGAATGAGCGGGCAGCAGTGAGAGTAAAAATTAACGAGACAGCGAAAAAAAGAAAAGCTCAGAGAGGAAGAGCGCGTTACAGAAGCGCGAAGCAAAAAATTGCACTGCGCGGAAGAGCGAATATTGTAAAACCACTGTTTTGCACTATTTCAGTATCTCGCGAGGAGACTGGCTACCTGGTGAATATCGAGATCACGTTATATTAGCGTTTCGATGAGATTTAGCGATTTAGAACTTATTCGGCTGAACTTTGTTACACGATCTGGCAGTCCTTGTCGAGCGTCGCGCAAACATCTCTCTCTCTCTCTCTCTCTCTCTCTCTCTCTCTCTCTCTCTCTCTCTC